AAAGCCTCTCTCGGCCAGCATTCCAGCGATGCTGATGGTGTCCTGCACGCCTGGCTTGGACCTTGGCCCCCTGCTCTTGTCCCTGTTCTCTGGGCTCTCTGGAGAGGTGCTGTCTACAAATCAAAAAATCCAGCCCCGGGGAGATAATCTGCCAGCGCGGTCACCAGGGTGATTCTGAGCGTAGGTCTTGCAGGTAGCCATTAATGAATGACTAACTGCTGATATTTGGGCCCCGAGCCGAGATGCTGCATATTTAAAGCTATTAGGACAGCTTATTTGCCTAGTTATGAAGAGCAACGATTTTATATCATGACTAATGCTTTTTTTATCAAACGGTTTCCTTCGCTGCAAGATAAGCTGGGCAAATTGGCCCTCGTTAAATGTCTGTTGCCTGCAAACTGTAATTCTGCGAGCTTGCTGCTCTCGGAGACAGAGAGATGTCTCAGACAGTTCTTATTCCTTGTTCGTGGCAGTGGCCTGTACTTAAACTGAAAACATCTCCCAGAAATCATAATCCAAAGCCTTCCCTGTGTCTCGTTCCTCCTGCAGCATCTCATAGCGGAGTCGTGGTGTGGGGAAGAGGTTTTCAGCGGCAGCTCAGCAAAAGCTCAGCTGGCGTGAGTCCCGTAGCCGCAGATCAGATAAAGCAATAGCGCAGAACTGCTTTGCCCCCCTCCCTCCCTGAATATTAAGCACCAGCCCTGACCTAGAGGGACCGCTTCCCGATGGCTGCCTCTTCTGTCCTTGGACTGTCTGACCAGAGGGTGCCAGGACACCAGGCTGCCAAGAACTGGCCTGAGATCCACCAACTTGTTTCTCACAGATCATCAAACAGCTGTCAGCCTATACCAGCTTCCAGGCCAGCTGGGCTGCGTTCAAACCAATAGCCTAAAGGTGAAGCATTTGTTCCAGTTACCTGAGCCATCCGCTTCCTCATAAACAGCGATTCCAGGCTCCCGAGAACAGGATTTATGGTGTCAAAAGTACCAGGGCTGTCAAGCCCCAGATTGTCTCGAGGTGAGGCAAGAGAGAGCTCTTCTGTGAGCTTTTTCCATGCTCCCATACAGGATCCCAGAAAGCAGTTTTGCCACTTTCGGATTTCCTTGCTGCGTGTCCCTCGTCCTCCTCCCTCTTCCCCTTTGCCAGTACATTTGAACCTGCCGGTTGACTTTCCCTGTCGGATTTCCTGGAGGGCAGCTCGGCACTGCTGCGAGCCGTGGGAAGCCAGCTGGCCTGGAAGAAAGGAGAGGGGACCCCTTAGTGCTTTGCACAACGAGGATGATCGCAGCTTAAATTCCACCGGGTTGCTCCGTGACCCCTGAGAGCCCTCACGGGGAGATGTTTTGGTTGTCCAGCTGTGGGAGATGCTTTGTTCAGCATGTTACTGAAGGTGCTAGAGAAGCGGTTTCCTGTGGTTTTTTGGGTTTTTTTGGGTTGTGTTTTTTTTTTTTTTTCACGCGTCTCCTCCCATACAGCTGAAGTCTGTCACCTGAAGCCACACATGGAAGCAGTGGGCAAGCGTGGGTGGTGTTGTCCGGCCAAGGGCTTTAGGCTGTGAGAGTTGTGATCCTGTGGCGCTGGATGCGCTGAGCCAAAGGAACGGCTTTTCGGCGTTAGAAAGCCCCCACGTAGAAATGTTTGATGTATCCGTGTGCTGCTCCAGTTCTGGCTACCCGACTCGCGCTCCGCGGTGTGAAACCGAGGGTGAAATGGGCTGTTGTATCCTCCCGTGGTCCTGTGCTGGCAGATGAGCCCACGTTGTGTGCGCAGCAGGCATTTGTATGCCTGATGCATAACCTGACCTGGCGGCAACCTCCGGTCACCGCTTGGCCGGGTTCTTTCTACCATTAGTTTCTTATCAGTGCACTCAATAGCTTTCTGGTTTCCTGTCTCCCCTTCAGACCAAGGATGGCATTCAGAAGAACTTGGAGAATGAAATCATCAAATACAAATTTAAGACCTCTTTCTTTGATATATTTGTGAGTATCCCAGACTGCTGCAGGTGAGGAAACTGCTTTGGAGCTAGGGGTGGCAAGGCTGAAGGCTGGGCAGGGAGAGTCTGTGTGCCGGGAGGGGGGCTGAGGTCTCCCCGCAGCCTGGCTCAGTGAAATTGGGCAGGACGGAGCCCGTCCTGTTGCAGCCCTGACCCCATCTGTCAAGGTGGCGAGGTCCTCGGGAGTTGGCCTGCGTCTGTGTCCTCCCAGCGCCTGGCAGAGGGACAAGGGCAGTGACTAGTGTCGACGGCTTTTTGTTTTTAAAGGTCTTGGCTTTCTTTCGGTTTTTTGTGTTGCTGCTGGCCTATGCAATCGTAAAGCTGCGCCACTGGTGGGTCATAGCGGTAAGAAGGCAATTTTTGCTTTCCTGTTTTTAGTTTTCTCTCTCCGCCTGGAGTTTGCAGAGATCTGAGATACGTAAATTTATTTTTCAGGTCACTACATTGGTATCCAGTGCCTTCCTGATCGTGAAGGTCATCCTCTCCGAGGTTGGTTTCCTTGGGCTCACAGGGGATTACGTTGTGATTACTTGATGCTGCTGTTTTCCCGTTTGTGTAAACTCCCCGTGGTTTCTGCTTTCTTCCACTCAGCTTCTGACCAAAGGGGCTTTTGGCTATTTACTTCCTATCGTCTCGTTTGTCATTGCTTGGCTAGAGACTTGGTTCCTGGATTTTAAAGTCCTAACTCAGGAAGCAGAAGAGGAACGATGTAAGTATTTTGCTCCTCTCTGGTAGGAGTTGGCAGATGAGAGTACCAGGCCTGGGGTTTCTGCTGCTTTGGCAGCACCTTGACAGATATGACATTTATGGAGAAGTGATCTCCAGGCTGGCTGTGATGGTAAGTGCCTGACTCAATTCTGTTATGGTATATAAGTCCCTTCAGGGGAAGAAAATACCAGATTATAAAAAGCATCTTTTAATTGAGCGGAGAAAAACGTGCCAAATTCCCCAATGTCTGGATCCTGAAGCCAGACGTGTTGGAAACAGAGCTCACCTCCGCATCGGAGAAAATGTTTTGAAACAGTGGGACGAATGCCAGGTGGACTGTTGGACTCTCCGTCTCTGGATATCTGTCTTCAGATCTGGGCTGGAGACATTTTCAGAGAGGATTGCTTCAGTCACAGACACGTTACAGGGGCGCGGCGTGAGTTATGGTGTGTGAAATTTTACAGCCTCTGGTCGCTGAGGTCAGACTAAATGGAGATCGAGTCTGACCTAATGCTTTACAAATTCCCCTGCGGTGCCGGGCACCTGTAACTTCCAGGGGTCCTTCTAGGGAGTTGGGTGCTCAGCCTGGACTGGCACGGCTGCCTGTCCCTAAAGCAGTGACAGGAGTTTGTCGCTCTCCCAGGCTTAACTGACGAAAGAGGACCGGGAAATGGCATGTAAACGAAGGAGTATTTGTCAAGCGAGGCTCGATCAGAAATGCACTGACTGACTGGAAAACACCAGAGGATGTTTGGGTCTTGCAAGGAGGCTTTAAGATGAAAAATGATCAAGTGTTTAATGCCTCTATTGGATTAGGCTCAGGTTCCAAATTGCTTCCAGGGGAAGCTCTTATTTAATTAGATGCTTAATCGCCTTTGGATTTGACAGGCAAAAGAGCCCATTGATCTCCATGCAGATAAAATGTCTCAAACAAAAGATGAGGCAATAGGAGCTGAAAAGCTTGTGGGCTGGCTGGTGTCAGTGCGAAAAGACCAGCTGTGTCTGGAAGAAAGCGGCTGGGAGGGTGGTCGAGTAGGGGTGGCTGTGGTGGGGGCCCCAGGATCCCGTGGTGTTGGAAGCGCCGGATGCCGTGTGCGTAAAACCTCGTGCTTTGCTTGGCAGGGTACCTGGCAGCCCAGGCTGCAGCCTCTCGTGGCCCCCTGCTCTACCCCAGAGCCCTTTCCGAGGGACAGTTCTACTCCCCGCCAGAGTCCTTTGCAGGTAAGACGTGCTGTCCTCCCCTTGTGCCGTCACCTCGCCGGCAGCTGGGCCTCCTTGTTTCCCAGGCTTCTCCTGGGTCTCGTCACCTCCATAATCGCCTCCTCCCCGAGCTCTGTCTCGTTATCCTGGCCCTTGGCAGTGACGGGTGGCAAAGCCTCCAAGAACTGACACTGCAAAACGGGCTCTCCTCTCCTCGCACTGCGCCTGTGCCCGGGCAAGAGTCGTGCTCAGCCCGGCGCGCCTGGCTTCAGCTCTGTGGGAAACTGGAGCCTTTTGTGGTCTTGGGATTAAACGCTCTTAGCTGCGGCTGAAGTACTTGAAAAATGCTGCCCTCGGGATGAGGGCACGGGGGCGAGTTGCCACAGGCAGGTGAGGATAAGAGCTGGCAGCACGCCACTGCCCTGTGACACCGCCTCGTGCTGGCTCCGGAGACCTCCCCTGTTCGGGAGCGAGGGGACGTCAACCAGAGCAGTTGTCTTGGTGTAGTTGACACCCGGTTTGTGCTCAGCCTTCCGGAGAGCAGAGCAGCGCCTGCCAGCCAGCTGCGGTGTGGAGGCGTCCGGGGTTGTCTCCTCTGACAGCCCTTTCCATCGGACAGGGTGCGGGAATCGGACGCTGTCTGTCCGAGGGAAATTGTGCGAGTGGGGTTTTCATCAACTGTGTGTTAATCGCGTGCTTCCCCCCTAGGGTCGGACAACGAGTCAGACGAGGAAGGTGCAGGGAGGAAGGCGTTGACAGCTCAGGTAAACAGAGGCAGCGTGGCCTGAGCCCGGCTGTCCCTGCCCGTTGTCTTCAGGCTGATCCGGGGCTGTGGGAGTCTCTGACAATCCTGCAGCCTCATCAGGGTGCTGTATCCACAGAGCACCAGAGGCTGCTGTCCCTCATTTCACAGCCTTCTGTTCTGGGGACATTTGGCCGAGGAGCTCTGCCCGCCCCTCGGCACCAGGCTGTTCCCCGGGATCGGTGGCATCGTGGCAGCCGTGGGAGGGGGTCCGCACTTCCCCAGGGCTGCGCGCTCTTCTCCGCACCATCCCCCAGGGATGTGGTTCTGGCTCTGCCTCCTGCCTGTCCCTCTCTCCCCTTCCCTCTCCCGTCCTTGGTTACACGGTCACGTACCAAGAAGGACGTTGCCTGAACCGCCCCCGCTGAACTGTGGCTCACGAGGCGGTCCTTCGTCTCCCCAAAGCCTGGCTGGGCACAGGCTGCTTTGTGCTCTTTTCCAAGTGGTTCTGCTGCCGTTCAGCCCCAGTTTTGGCACCTCCACAGCAGGAAGCTCTGTGCATCTCGTAGCCCTTTGCCTGCTGGAAACCCTTACGTTAAGGCGGGAGACTCACTGGTAGACGCAGCTGGTGTGTGGATACAAGCCAGGGCGGGGAGCGTGACTTTGAGCTCCAAAATGAGGCCTCTGTGACCCAAATTAAGAGATTTCTGCGGTGTGGTAATGGGAGATATCCCCTTTTCCTCTGCCAGCCCCAGGAGGGGGGTAGCAGGCCTTGCACACGCATTTCAGGCTTTCTGCAAACTCAGCTAATGAAACGCTCCCTTCTCTCCTAGGAGAAAGAGTATGTCCGACAAGGCAAAGATGCGATGGAGGTTGTGGACCAAATCCTCGCCCAGGAGGAGAACTGGAAGTTCGAGAAAAACAATGCAAGTGTCCCCCCACCCCACCTGCTGGGCAGAAAGCACGGATGGCTTAGCAAAAACGGGAGGACAAATGAGGCTTTTGAAACCTCCTTGCGACATGAAAAATTAACAAGCGTTACAATTACCTGATTGAATTAGGAATCTATTCCAGTTCAGTTAAATGTAAAATCCCCTCTTATTTAATTAGACGTTTAATTGCCTTCCTGTTTGACAGGAGAGAGCCCATCGCTCCTCCCTTTAGACGGCACGCAGGCAGGGGCGGACAGCTCACCTTTGGTAGGCGTTGGGATGCGGAGCCGTGGCGTGGGGAGCAGGGGAGGCGGGGCCTTGCCCTTGCTCCACGGCAAGGTGCCTTTGAGCGTGCCAGGGACACCAAGCCAGGCTCTGGCTTTTCTGGCCAGCTTTGGCCCACATGGGAGCACGAGAGCATGGGGCACAGACTGCTCCTCCCACCCCCAAAGCCGTTTGTGTCCCCCCTTCCCCGTGACGGGGACCTTGCGGGTGCTGGGGCGTAAATCAGGGAGGTCTCTGTGCCGTACATCTTCCCACGTAGCTTTGCCAAAGGGGTCTGCAAGTCGCACCTCTTGCTTCGGGCAGCACAGAGGCACACAGAGCAAAGCGGGTCCTGCCCTGCCTGTTGCCTCGCTACGCTGGTTCCTGCCCTGGGCTGCAGCGCAGAGTTTTCCGGGGTACCTACAGCTCCTTTCTCTCTCCCCAAAGGGTGGAGAGAAAGGGGCAGCGCCTCTGCCCCCTAAAACCAACCTTGCTTTCTGCTTATGGGCTTGCAACGCAATTGGGGCGAGAGTCCTGCAAACTGCAGTCTCATCTGGTATTTAAAATTCCCCTGTCAAGTGATCCATTGTCTGATGCCAAACTAGCTGGGCAGATTGTTTTCTTTATCCAAAGGGGGATGGATTTAAATAGACTAATCAGAGTTTAACACAGGGCTAATGATGAAAGGTTATCATCTGTCCATCCCTAACCCCTCCGGGGAGTCTCTTCTCAGATGTAGGTAACAACAGCAGTGTTGGCAAACTAAAGCCCTTTCTCGTACCCTGGTGTTGGTAGCTTGCTACAAAGAGAATTTGACCTTGACATGGAGTTTGCAGGCTGGCATGGGGCAGATTCTTTTTCTGTCTCATCACTGCTGCTGCTCTGGATATTGTTTTGTTTATGGAAATTTGTACACGTGCATCCGAGATGTGCTCGGTGCAATTCCTGGACTGGGGTCGCTGCCTGGCGTTGGGGGATGGG